ATCCTTATACAAATTCTTCTTCATTCGTCACCACCCATTGATACGAATAGAACAGGTAAAGAAACAAAACCATGAAAATAATTTTTTCTTTGAATTTATATTCGTTTTTTTTTTATTCAGATCTTTTATATGTTCAACACGTAAGATCAATGGGTAATCGACAAACATTTCATCCAAATAAACTTGATTATGATATATTTAATATTGAAATTGATATTGGTCCTGTTAATTTACTTTTACATGGTTTATTCTTAAAAAATCTTTGGTGGGTTAAAGTAAGTAGATAAATGAATTTTTTAAACACCGAAGTTGCTTTTTTTTGTCAATTTTAAAGGAAAATTTATTCGGTTGGGATCAAATGTATCATGATATTAACGAACCAGAGTTAATACGTGAAAAACAGATTATTGTTCCAGATGATCCACTTGTTAATATAATTGATGAAAATCATCAATTTGATCCACGGTATTTTCGACCATTAATGGTTAATTTACGTGTTGCACTTCATAATATAACAGCTCATTTGATTCATGTAAAATTAGGATTTTTTCTTTTTATTAGAGATGATTTTTTTTGTTTTTTAGCATAGTGATAATGAACCTTGTCCAATTGGTTTTTGTGAACGATTATGTGTTGAAATGACAACTAATTTAGATGAAACAAAAGTACAAGTACTCATTTTACCTGTTAATGTTTATGTTGAAGATACAATTATTGTAAGTATATTAGTAAAATATTGTACAATAGGAATCCACGAAAAAGAGTCATTAGGGGCAATGTAGTTAAGACATTTGCAATTTTAAAGGAAAGGAATCGTTCTAAAAAACAACTTTCAACTGAAAGAAATGAGTTAAACAATAATAAAAAGAACGAATATCTCTTTGTCGGATAGAAATTATTATACACTATAGATTACTTCAACAAAACATATTAGCAAAATCATTCGTTAGGGACGTGATTTTGCAAAATAAAATACAGTGGATTTCGAAATAATGAACTTTCTTAAAGCTAGTTTTATATCTTCCATGCATGCTAAGTTACTCTAGATATGTTGGAAAATTCAGCTGTAAAGACCTTTGTTCAAAGCAGTTATCGATAGAAAACTAGCGTTAGCGACATGATACAAAAAAAGAACATCGACTTTCATTTCATGGATTTTAGTTTAGATAACCTCCGTAGTGAGGCAACATTTTCAAAACTAAGTAGTACGTTCTCTAGATAGTATCTGAGTCTACAAAATCTATAAGCAAAAATTTTTTTCTGAACATGCCTAAACCTTTCAAAAAAAAATCAACTCAATTGGCGTTAGTGACATGACAAAGTACGAAGATACAAATAAAAAGATGCTCTGCAAACCGAATCAGAATTGTTAAGCGAATTCCAAATAGTGGAAAACTTTCTTTCCAATGTCTAGATTATGGTAAGACAAAAAACTTTCGTTGGGGATCTGCTAGGATCTCCAGAAAATCAGTTTTTTAGGATTCAATCTTGCTGAAAATTCATCATAGATGCAATTTATGTCGTAGAATCTATCCTCAAGTTTTTGTGTTGTATGGTTAGAGAGATATTTACAAATTACATGTTAACTAATTAACGAATAAAGCAGTTCATTTATTAATCAAGTTAGTTAATTAATAGTCAGCTGAAAGAGTCAACACTTTTGCATATGTCTATGTTAAAAGAACTTATTCAAAAAAATAACTCTTATGAAGAATCAACGATAGGTATGTCCGGTTTTATCTGAAATGGTCTATATTTTTTCTTATTAATGTTTATTAGATCTCTTTTAATATAGAATTCTTAGAATAAAAGATTGTTTAAGAGCAAACTTTTATATCTTTATGTAAAGATTTTAATTAGTCTTGATAAAATAAATTTTATTTTATTATTACAAATTTGTTAAGTAATGTTTGTATCTACCGATTTTTATTTTCCTTTTTTGTACAATAAAAATCATATATATATGACTATTTAATTCGAAAAACTTTTTAAAAATTATTCTGTTGTTTCTTTGTTTTTATAGAGAAATAAATCTGATCAACATTTATCTACTGGAAGCCTTCAATTATCTGGTTTAATAATTCGTGGTCATGCAATGCTTTCTCATGAAGGTTTACCACCTGAACGTGAAACACTTGAATATGCATGGCAAATGGAAATTTTACTTGGTAAAATATCAGCTCGTGTAACAACAATTCAAGTATTTGAAAAAAAAAACAAAAGTCTTTTCTATTGACAATAAAGTCAACTTTTTTTCTGATTAATAGGTGGAAAAACTACTCGCCTTCTTAAAAAATTTTTATTTACAAATGATGCAAGATGAATATACATTGATTCGTTCACCAGTTATGGATAAAACAAAATGGATTGAAAAACTTAAATATGAGGCACTTAGATTTAGTTTAGATTCAGTTGATCTTAGTATTATTGAAGTTGGAAATGCTCTTCATGCACAGGTGAGGAAATTTATTTTGTATGATAGTTGAACTTATTATTCACGGAGGAAGGCTGTGATATTTCAAGAAGAAGTTAGAAAATATAGAAAAAACTCATATGTAAGAGTACAGTTGATATGATTTTCTTCTTTGTTTTTTGTTCTCATGTGATTTACGAGAAAACATGTTCAATTGATAGAAGGTATTCGACTTCTTATTATGACTATCAGTAGATCTCGATGAGAGCAAGATAAACTGAAAAGAATTCGGACCTATGACTTATTGATGCAGAGCTACAATCATTTTAGTGGAATTTCTGCTGAGATCAAGATATTTCAGAAAAACTTAAAACAACAATTTTATCTATAGGTACATTTGACGTGCATAAAACTTTCAGCGAAAACGAACATGTTTTTCTCGAGACATTCGATTTACAATTAGATTAAATTAAACTATGCCTTCTTATGGCAAGCCATTGCTATTTTTTTGGATAATGAATATCTCGAAAAAGACATGTTCATTCTATCTGAAACTTTAAGAATTATCTAATGACAATCAAACATATCTATAGGCAAAATCTTTGTTCCGAATTTTTCAACCATGCTTTGCTCCTAGTTATCATTTCATTAAAACAGTCATAAATCATCGGCCAAAATCCTTTCAAGTTTATCTTACTCTCACAGACATAATATGAAATTGAAACGACGTTTCACAATCGGATATGTTTCCTTGTTAGAAAGAAATAGTAATTCTTCCATATGATAAAAACAAAATTGTCAGTCGAGCAGTATCCAATCAAAACTATTGATAATGATCAGAAAAGAAAGATTTAAATAATTTGTAGACTTCAAGTTACTATAAATACAAGTCAATTCAAAAGTTCACTTTCGAATATTTATCAGTCAGTTTGAACATTGATCCTTCATGTTAAAATAAAAAAATAGATCGAACATTTTTATTACTTCTTATATTAGTTACCAAATACTAAACTCTAAAACCAATATAGACATAATCTTTTTTCATTCAAAACAAACAAAATCAATACTCTTTTCTCTTTCAACATCTGCTAATTAACTTGTGAGAATACGCTTCTATGAAATACGATCTAAATAGATATAATATAATAAGCTTCTTGTGATTGGCAACACCGATTATATGATGTTTTACATTTTAATCCCATAGATATTGTGCTAACAGTTTTTCTTCTTTTTTTAGGTTGCACCAGTTCGTTTATGCATGTGTAATATGCATACAAGTTTATGTAACGAAAGTTTAACTCTAAAAGTGGGTACTATTAATATTCGTCAATTACTTCGTCTTTATCCTGGTTCATGGATAGAAGCTGGTTCTATTCATATACCAGAATTACGTATGAATGCAAAATTTGATTGTCATCCTCCAACACAAATTAATATAATTGAACAAATCGAATTTCTTCGTCGACATGATCAACAAACACAACGACTTCATTTTCTTTATAATGCAAAATCTCAACAATCAACATCAACAACATTAAAACGACCATCAAATTTTGGTTTACAAACAAATATAAATCTTCCATCATGTGCATGTCTTGGTGGTTCATCAAATTATTATACACTTGTATCAGGTGAACAATTTTTTAAAAGTTCATTTCGTCTTAGTGAACAAACATCATTTGGACGTTCTTTATTTCGTCCTGATCTACATGTTATACATTCACATCCTATATTTCAACATAAATATGATTGGAATACTTATAAAAATTCATCGGCATCAAATGAACAATTAAATAATGAAGAAAATTTTTATCCATTTGATTTTTGTTTACAACAAAGTCAATTTAATCAACAAGAACTTCATAATTCAAATTCAAATCATCTAGATTCTAATATACCTACGGATTTATATTCATGTGTACGATCAAGTTCTCTATCACAGACAAAACATAAATCATCAAATCAAAAAAAATTTCATAAACGTTCATCATCATCAATACCATCATGTTATAATGGTACTGATGATTCTTCATCATCCGCAACAGCAAGTGATGCTTATTTAACACCAACTGAACATGTATCGTTGAACAATTCAAGACAAAAAAGTTTAGATAATACAAATGATATTTTAGAATCATTAACAGTAAATGATATACAACATCAATTTTCATTAAATACAACATCAATACCTGCACATTTTCATTTATTAACAAAATTTTCGGATGAAGAAGAAACTGTATCAATAAAATCCTCAGATTCATCATCAACAGATTCATTGGCACCTTTCGAAGAAATACTTCGAAGACAACAATCAGAAAAATTAATTCCGAAAATAGTAAGTAGAAAAAAACAAAAAAAAAATACTAACAATCAGAAGCTCACACAGAATAGAATTAATTATTAATTTTAAGAGAAAGTCCAACAAATCATTTCAATTAATTTAAGACCAACACAGTAAAAACTCTCTAATATAAACAACTAAAGAAATATTCAAGCGGGTGTTTTATTCTTATACGTACAAAACAACATGTAAAAAATAGATCTGCCACGTCTGTGATATGGCGTTGCTAAGATGTCTGTAGAGCGAGAGAGCTCCAAATTTCCACAACTATACGTTAACACATTGTCTTTTTTAGATTAACCCGGTAAAAATCCAAAATGTTCAAATTATAGAGGCGTTTACATTGGAATGTTTTACTTTAGATTAAGCATTTAGGAATCAAACAGTAATTTTATGTAGAAAGATAAAAACGTAGTAATTTCGAGAAGAAAAATCTGGACTTTGTTCAAGAATATTTTGAATGAATCTGATAGACCTAAATATTATACACAGTATTAGAATCAATAGAGAAACAACGTTCTGTTAATGTTAAACCTGCAACAGAGAAAAGCCGTTCAACCTCAGTTGAATTAATTAGTAGCGAGAAAAAAGACGACGAGCAACAAATAATAAACATGGGAATTTGCGTTGATGATCTNAGTTTTTGTATGCCTTTAGTTTTCGTCTTTTTTCAAATATATCTAAGACAGTTTTTGGGCCAACTCATATATGGTTTTGTAGAGAATTTCAAGCACTATCTTTTGATAATAAAGAGAGCTTTAATTACAGGGATAATAGAGAAGAAATCTTAAAAATACTGAGAGGCCCATTCTTTCTGGGACACCCGATATAATCATTAGTTTCGATTGGGACTACTTTGTTTCCTTGTCGTTCTGTGCATCTCTATTCTACAATCATAAAAAAAAAACGAACTCATAATTCACAATATAGACTATGTTAAAACTGATTCTTTTGTTTAGGGTATATCATCATCAACAGAATATACTTCTATTCCTCAACCATCTTTACCTAGTTCTTCATGGATTAGTTTACGTAATCAAATGAAAATGCCCATACCAAAATCTACTCTATTATGTACAACATATATTCGATATTTATCTCATTATCGTTCATCAACATGGTCAAATAAAGCATCATTTCCACCAAATATTCAACAAGATCAAATTGATTATCGTCCAATACTTGATTTTAATTGTGTATCTCAAGGTTTTTCATGTTCATTTTTATCTGATAATTCACCATCAACACAATCATTTACAATATCTCAATCACGACAACAACAACAACAACAACAACAACAACAACAACAACAGCAACAACAGCAGCAATCAACACAAACATCATCATCATCATCAGCAACAACAACAACAAATAATCGACCACGTTTATCTATTGCACCAACAATATCTCCAGTGGGTTCATCAAATATAAATGCAACAGAAAAAGAAGTATGTCTTCGATTTATAGGTCCATTTAATATACTATTAACACCACTTATGCTTGAATGTTTAACAACATATATTGAAAAATGGAAAACATTTGATATACATCCATTATCTGTTCTTGATGGTCTTCATATACAAGCTCAAACACAATCAAATCCAATGACAACATTAATTGATTTATCAGCAACAAAAATTTCATTACAATTACCAAAAATAAATGTTTGTTTATTACAAGCTGGTTTAGCTGAAGATAATGTTCAATTAACTGAATTACGAACACCAGTTGATATTGTTACAATGTCATTATTTGCTTTATCATGTAAACAAATTCAAATGGAAACAATATTATCTAAACGTGATCAATCAACAGCTGGTGTTTTTAAAATTCAATCAATAACAGGACAATTTCGTCGTTTTGAAAATGATTTTTCTACAATTGAAAATGTTAATATTCATGCTATACAATCACAACGTTGTCGTTTACAATTTCGTTTATCAAATGATATTCAAACACATTTACCTATTGGAGATAATCGAAAAAATTTTGGTTTTGTTATGAATGAATTTGGTTTACAACGTTTATGTTTTAAATTAATAAATAATGCAGCTAAACAACAACAATTAAGAAAATTTATTTCACCAAATATGACACAAATTGATGAAACACAAACAACAAGACTTCCATCAAAACATAAATCAAAACGAAAACAATCCGCTGAAGTAAAACTTAAAGAATTTTATTTTAAAAACAGATTTCAATTGATTTTTGAATAAGAATATAAAATTCGATATGTGTCCTCGAATCAGAATAAGTAGCTTGATCAATCATGAGGATTAGATGTTATTTCAAGATTTTCTCGGAAATCCATTTAAGTACTACCATAAGAGATATTTGAGAGTGTAGTAGCACGTGTTACTACAGTATCTTCTATGCTAGTATTTCATTGAGTTTCTGGAGATAGCCTTAGAAGATATCATATTATCACAAGACCGAGTTTTGTTAATTTTTATAAAGAACGGTAAAGAGAAGTTTTTCATGACACAATAGTCTGTCTGTAGTTTTTATGAACAAAACTAAAATAAGAACAATTCTAAATAAAGTAAAATGACATGACTACTATGGTCTTATTAACAAAGTTAAGAGCAGTAAAATTAATTCTTCTCTTTCATACAATTCCAAAAGATAGTAAATATAAATAAAACAGAACCTAAAATTAAATTTTTTTACAAGCAAAAAAAACAATATTTATTAACATTTAGATTAATGTTTAATTCTACTTCGAAAGTATTAGAATGCGAATATTAACTTGTGAAAAAATTTGAACTATTCAATCTCATTATAAGACCGTTTTGAGAAAACGTACGTTAAACTAATATTGATGTAGCACGAAAACAAAAGATTTTTTCTAGGAAATTTATTAATAGATTGCCATGAAATAAGATCGCTGGTTGAATTTTCTTCATGCAGAAAATGAATCAATATCTTATGAAACTATTTTTCACGGTGAATTATCTACTTGTGCTTTTTCCAATGAATGATTTGAGTCGTCGACACAGAGTTTATTGCGGTACCCAGTCAGACAAAAATTTTGAAAAACGCGTTTAAACACACAATCGGGAACCGCGATTGTAAGCCATTAACGCTCACTAAAAGAACGCACGAAAACGCATTTGTTGGCGTTTTTTGTAACTTTATGGGCGTTAAAACGGCGAAAACTCCAATTTTGGAGCGTTAAAACGTATTATTTTTAAGTTCTAGAATAATAGTGCGTTTTAACGCTCAAAAACGGGAATTGTCACCGTTTTAACGCCCATGAAGTTACAAAAAAACGCCAATAAACGCGTTTTCATGCGTTTTTTTAATGAGCGTTAATGGCTTACAATCGCGGTTNATCAAAGACTTATATATATATATATGTCAGCGTCCAAACTGAGATTACGTCCAATCTCGGATTGACGCAATTCTGTTCACTAAAATATCAATTACTCTTTAGATAGACGTTGAATTCGAATTGATTTTTGGAGTTATGTTCATACAATGCCAATTTATTTGACACCATTGTCATTTGGTAGATTTTAGTAAAATTTTAAGACTTATGAATAAATTTCTAGAAAACAACAACTTCGATGAAAAATTTTTATTAAATTTTTGAATCTAAATTTCACTTCTTCCTAAATGCTTGTAATACTTAAAACGGCATTGTGCGAACATAATTTCAAAAAATAGTTCGAATCCAACGTCTATCTAAAGAGTAATTGATTTTTTTAGTGAACAGAATTGCGTCAATCCAAGATTGGACGCGTTCAATCTCGGATCCGACATTCGCCTAGGCCAATCTGAGATTGAATGTAATCTCAGTTTGGATGCTGACATATATGTCGATAACGTTTCATTCTATCATATGAACTATTTGCTTATGACATTTCTGGAGAATTAAATAAAACGATGGAGAGAAAACTATGTCTAAAAATAGATAGAATGAAGCAATTCCCTTGTAATTATCAACAGTAGCTACATCGTGTTTTTTTTTTACATTTCGATTGCACAAGAATTGTTCTAACAACTTTTGTTATGCATTGAGTTCGAAAGTCTAACTGCTCGGGAATATCTTTAAACTTTAACTCTATGAATAAAAGTTTTCATTTCTCTTCAATAACAAGAAAAAAAATGTGACTTAGTAAATGACGTTTTTAGATACTTTATATATTTATAAAAATAATTTTCTTCTATTTAGATACGATGGTTCATTAATAGTACAAATCGGTTCAACATCACTTTCGTTAAAAGAAACTCTATCAACTTCTACAGATAATCTTTCGATTATGAATCCTTCAAACATAAATTTAACATCTTCTAATACATCACCATCAACACAACAAATATCTGTTCTTGATATAATTGTTGGTAAATCACGAGCATTAACATCTTTACAAACTCGTGGTATTAATTTAACATTAAGTGGTGTAACAAATATTGGTACTATTGCAATGGATGTACCATTACGACCACAAGAAGTTCATGATCTTGTTAATCGTGCTGGTCGTTTAATAACATCGTATGTTCAAGAATTTCTTCCAGATGATACACAACAAATATCAACAACACCATTAACAACAAATACAAATATTGAATTAAATAATATAAATTTAAATGATACAATTGAAGAACCAAATACAGCAACACCATTAGAACGTATAACAACTAAAAAACGTCTTGGTACACGTCGTAAAAGTACAATAACATCAAATAATAATTCACGTCCATTAGAAGCTCAACGAAGTATATCATCATCATCAAAACAACCTTTATTTGAAGCACATATAACAGCACATTGTCAAGGAATGACATTTTCTACAACACTTTTATCAACATTAAAAGCTCAATATAAAATTGGTATTGTTGAAGGTGTTGCTAATATTGGTAGTATGACATCACGTTTTACAGCTATAATACATGAACATGCATTACATTTCTTAAATAATAATAATAATGATCAACAACAACCACCAACTGTTAGTTCTGATAATCATGTTCGAATTGATTTTCCACAAATACGTTGTTATGGAAATTATTCTATTCAACAAGAACAAGAAAATAAAACAAAAGGACATTTAAATCTTCTTACAAAAATAGATTTACTTAAATTAACAATAACAGCTGATTTTCTTGCACAATTAGTTTTTGTTTCAAAAGTTATTATACATGAAATAAATGAAATTCTTGCTAAAGTATCTGGTTTTGATCAATTTCATTTTAAAACAAATAAAAATTTACGTTTATCATCATCATCTGGAACACAATTTATTGGTATTAATATAAATGATACTGAAGATGATGAGGATGATGATGATGATGATGAACCAGAAAAAGATCAACAAACAACATCAACAACACCATTTACATATAAAATTGATATATCAATGAAAGGTTTTGAAGTTATTGGACAAACACCATCAAATACAATTGTTAAATTTGAAAATGGAGATAAAAAAGTACCAATATTTATTAAATTAACAAATTATCATGAACAAAATTCTGTATTACTTTATAATAAACCATTAATTAATGCATTATTATATATTAAACTTAGTTTAGGACAATTATTACATACAGGTGGTTTTCAAGATGCTGCTTATTTTAAAACAAAATTACTTTTAAGAAATTCATTTCAAGTAAGTTTCATATTTATTTCAAATAATAATTTGTCATTTTAATGAAATATTATCAAAAATATCTAATAATGAAGGTGTTTGTACTGTAACTTAAAACGATGGCACATATTCGGGTCAAATGAAAGCTCTCACCGCCAAACTGACAAGGTTAAAATATTAGCGGCTGTTGGCTTGCCTAGAGGGAGATATTTAAATTTTAAATTTAGGTATAAAAATGAATCAGGAAAGATATTCTCCACTATTATAAGGACAAAACATAATGTTGTTCGAGGCGATTATGGGCTGTGTAGGGACTCTCTTTCATAGCGATCGAAGAACATG